ACCCCCCCCCCGGGCCCGGCCCGAGCGGACCACGGGCTCTTTTGGACCCAAAACGGGCTCAAGACGGGCCAAGAAGGCCCCAAGACGTCTCCAAGACGGCCCACGAGGGCCCCGAGACGCCAAACGAGCGCTCCAAGACGCCCAAGATGGCCCCAAGACGAGCCAAGAGGCCTCCAAGACGGCCCAAGAGGCCTCCAAGAACAGTCTTCAGAAGGGCCGAAGAGCCGAAAATCATCAAATTCCGATGGGAAGACGTACATTTTCATCATATACGACTTGTCGGCCTTTACGGCGTTGAAGACAATCCAAGAGCACCCCAAGACCGCCCCAAGACGGCCCAAGAGGCCCCCAAGAGGCGCCCAAGTCGGCCCAAGAGGGCGCCAAGACGGCCCAAGAGGCCCCCAAGACGGCCCAAGACGGCCCCATGACGGCCCCAAGAGGGGGAGCTTGAACCGACAATCCGAGCCTTCCGCCCCAAGACAGCCCAAACGAGCGCTCCAAGACGTCCAAGATGGCCCCAAGACGAGCCAAGAGGCCTCCAAGACGGCCCAAGAGGCTTCCAATAACAGTCCTCAGAAGGGCCGAAGAGCCGAAAATCATAAAATTCCGATGGGAAGACGTACATTTTCATCATATGCGACTTGTCGGCCTTTACGGCGTTGAAGACGGTCCAAGAGCACCCCAAGACCGCCCCAAGACGGCCCAAGAGGCCCCCAAGAGGCGCCCAAGTCGGCCCAAGAGGGCGCCAAGACGGCCCAAGAGGCCCCCAAGACGGCCCAAGAGGGCCCCATGACGGCCCCAAGAGGGGCCCAAGAGGGGGAGCTTGAACCGACAATCCGAGCCTTCCGCCCCAAGACGGCCCAAGAAGGCCCCAAGAGGCCCCAAGACCCAAGAGGCCCCCAAGACGCCCCTAAGAAGCCCCAAAAGGCCCCCAAGAGGGCCCCAAACGGCCCCAAAAAGGCCCCCAAGAGGCTTCGAAACTGCCTCCAAGAGTCCCGCGAGAAGCCCCACAAGAGATCCCCGCGATCACCTCCTCCTCCTCCTTCTCCTCCTTCTCCTCTTCCTCCTCCTCACGACCACACGCTGCACGCAACATTGCAGGAGAATGGTGCCGACACTGCATGCGACCCCAGAGAAACCACAACGCTTTTCGAACAAAAAGGTCGGCGGATGTGGCGCACGCCTATATAATCTTTGTTCCGCTCCCTTGCTTTTTCCTGCTCGGCCGCCCCGCCCTTTCTTTCCCCCCGCTCGGCCGCTGAGCGCGCCCGGCCCCGAGCCTCGGCCCGGGAGAGGCGGCGCCCGCCGCAGGCCCGCGCCCTGGCACCCGTCGGCGGCCACCCGGCCCCCGGGGCCGGCGCCGCGAGGAGGCGGCTGTGCCGCCGGAAGCTCGCGTCGTCGCTGAGACTGCTGCGCGCCTGGCTCTCCAGCACGTTCACGGGGGCCCAAGGGCGCGCAGATAAACACGCACAAATCACAGGATCCCCCATGCTTTCCCAGATCTTCTGGGCTTTGGTCTTCCCCCACTTCCCATACGTTCCCACATCTTCGGGGGAATCGACGATTCATTGTGTCGACTGTGTGTGTTTTCCCCTCCTGAGTCGCGCGCGCAGCCCAGCTCGAGCCCGGGCAGCTCGGAGCCAGGGCCGAGCTACTCCAGCGCGCCAGCCTGGAGCCGTCGGCCCCGCCGAGTCCGCGCGCCGCCGAGCGCCCCCGGCCTCCGCAGAGCCGGCCCAGCCCGCGGAGGCGCCCCCGCGCGGCCCCGCCGCCCGCGATGCCGAGGGCGGGCGCGGGCAGCCGCCAGCCGGGCCCGGCTCCTGCGCGCCAGCCAGCGCGCCGGGCAGCTCGGGCAGCTCGGGCAGCCGCCGCAGGTCGCTGGCGGTGGCGCCGGGGCGCGCGGCGCACGCGGCGCGCTGCGCGTGCGCCTAGGGGCAGGCAGGGCACCGCGAGAGCCACGCGGTCGCGATCGACGCCGCTTGCGGGCTGGCTGCGGCCCCGGTGCCGAGCGCTGTGGGCCCCAAGGACTAGAGATTGAAGCCAGAATTCGGCGGGGATGAGAACAGCAGCAGGCACGAGATGCACGGTCGCTGCTCACAAACAGCCGGGGCCACCCGAGTGTGGAAAAATGAGTATGTCACCAAATGAGCGACGAAAAGAACCGGGTCTTTTGCGAGACGACATCGTGACCTTACGCGGTGGCTTTCGCGGGCCGCCAGCGTGGAACGATACAATGGACACCAGGGCGCTTAAGCGCGACCTTGCGCGGGCAGCTTACGCACCATTGCCGGCGCAGACGAACCTGGTCGGCGTCGCTCAGACGTCAAGAGGGCGGCCGAGCTGTTCAGCAAGCGCGCGGGCCTCTTCTTCGGCAATCTTCGCCTGGGGCTCCCACTGAAGGCTGGCGACGACATGCTGCAGCGCTTGGCGGACATCACCAGCGCGTGGGCGCGCGCCCCGCACTGCGAAGCCCTGGACCATCGTCGAGGTCTTCCTTCCCAAGCCAGGTGGGAGCCAACGGCCCATTGAACTGATGTGGGCGAGCGACGACATATGTACATGTACGCCCTCCGCGGTCTTGCCTGCACGAACGTCCGCGTTCACACGCACTCCAAGAGAAACTAACCGCGTACGTGTACATATGTTGCTGGCCTCCGATGATGTCCGTAATTTGAAAAACAAGAGCGGCGCAGACATGAACCGTCGGAGCTCCGCGCGGATTTCTCGGATCTGCGCTGGGCCCTCTCCCTGGCGCCCGGAGCACGCCAGGGGCTGCGCCGGAGGCGCCGCCCAGTAGGCTCCAGCGCCGAGCCGAGAAATCCGCGCGGACCGTCGAAAGCTTATGCGTGTGCCGCTTTCCCTCCTCGATTCGTGTCTTGCGAGGGCGAGGTCCCGTCGGCCCACCTGATGAGGTGCCCAGGACCAGCCCGCGGTCTTCACGCGGCTGCGCCGTGCGCGCTGCTCGGGGCGTGCCTCCGAGAAGAGAGGGCGAGGTCTCCCCGAGGGCGCCCCGCCCGCCCCGAGGGCAAGTGCTCCGACGAGCCGCAGGAAGCGTCTGCCAGTGGTGCGCCACCCCAAGCAAGGAAAAGACGTCCTTGGGGCCATACCTGGCACGCACAAGGACATGATAAGACTATGTGTCCTCCTCGGAAGGTCCCGTCCGACTCGAGCATATAATAACTACAACCGTCTTGTGGTATATCGTTTTTCGAGCGATATGGCCAGTAAGCGCCCGCCACGGAGCTTATACTCGAAGATTTCTCGGCGCGCGTGTCGCCCCAGGAGGGCGACGCACACACAGTTTTTGTATGTTGGGGTGACGCCGATCCCAAGCAGGGGGAAGGCGCCCTTGGTGCCCTACAGTCGGGCTGCTGAAATAGGGAACGCTGAATAAGGAACGAAGCCCCCGTTTGGCACCGAGAGCGCCTGCGTACACGAGGGCGGGAGGAACCACAGTAGGACCTGCGGAACAGCGAGCCCCTTCCGAACTCAAAGCGGATCTTACTTCAACGCCTTGGCTGCAGCTTCCCCTTTGGACCGAATGATGAAGGACGTCTCGGGCGCCGCGGCCTTCTCAAAGCATTCCGTAACGCTCCGAAAGAGTTCTGGGACACGGATTTGTCCTTGTCCTAGCCCCGTCCGATAGCGCTCCCCCCTTCGGGCCGACTGAAAGAGTTTTGGGCGGGGCACTTTGATGGACCCGCGGCCGCACCGAGGACGGGCTCCCAGAGACCCCTCTGGAGACGGGCCTCTCGGCAGGCCCGCCCCTTGGGCTCACGCGGGCTCACGCCCAGTCCCTGGGGCCCCAAGCGGTGGAGGCTAGAGCTCGACGAAAGCAGGAGTCAGAGGGCCCGCTCTTTTCAGTTTCAGTTTCAGGGGCGCGATGGCAGCCGCGTCCCAAGCAACTCTCAAGTGCAATCCAGGGCCCGCTCTGATCCGAATTGGTGGTGCATGGCGCCTCTTTGGCAAGGTCCCTCCTCCTCCTCCTCCTCCTCCTCCTCCTCCTCTTCCTCCTCCACCTCCGCCACCTCCTCCTCGTCCTCCTCCTCCGCCGCCACCTCCTCCGCCACCTCCGCCACCTCCTCCTCCGCCACCTCCTCCTCCTCCACCACCTTCTCCTCCTCCTCCTCCTCCTCCTCTTCCTCCTCCTCCTCCTCCTCCTTCTCCTCCTCCTCCTCCTCATCCCCCTCCCTCCTGACGCGGAGGCGGAGGCAAAATTGGGCGAGGAGAAGGACGAGGAGGACGAGGACGAGGAGGATACCATCGAGGACGAGGAGGAGAAGACGAGGGCGGGCGGGCACCGCTGAGGGGGAGGGCCTCCCTCCTCCTCCTCCTCCGCCTCATCCTCATCCTCCTCCGCCTCATCCTCATACTCATCCTCATCCTCATCCGCAACCGCAACCGCATCAGCATCCGCATCCTCATCATCATCCTTAGCATCATCATCATCATCATCATCATCATCATCATCATCATCATCATCATCATCATCATCATCATCATCATCATCATCATCATCATCATCATCAGCATCAGCATCATCATCATCATCATCATCATCATCATCATCATCATCATCATCATCATCATCATCATCATCATCATCATCATCATCATCATCATCATCATCATCATCATCATCATCATCATCATCATCATGACCATCATCATCATCATCATCATCATCATCAGCATCAGCATCAACAGCATCCGCATCCGCATCATCCGCATCATCCGCATCACCGTCATCATCATCATCATCATCATCATCAGCAGCAGCAGCATCATCGTCATCGTCATCGTCATCGTCATCGTCATCGTCATCATCATCGTCATCATCGTCATCATCGTCATCATCGTCATCATCCTCTTCCTCCTCTTCCTCTACTTCCTCCTCCTCCTCCTCCTCCTCCTCCTCCTCCTCCTCCTCCTCTCCTGCTCCTCGTTGTCCTTGTCCTCGTCCTCGCCCTTGCCGAGGGCGGGGAGGGGGGGGGAGAGCGAGCCTGGCGGCCCCTGTGCGCTGGCAGCGGCGGCGCCTCGCAGGCGCGGGGCGCCCACCTCTGGCGGGGGGGGGGGCTGCTGCTCGGGCGCCCGCCCCCCCCCCAAACAGAAAAAGATGAGGCCAGGACCAGGGCTCGAGACAAACAGTGCTCTTCGTTTTCCTTGCATGCTCGGTGTTCTTCGACCTGTCTTCGCTCCGCCTCTGCTGCACAACGAAATCGAAACGAAGACGGCCCACGACGTCGCCAAAACACCGTTCAGCTGCTCGAGCCCTGGCCAGGAGAGGGGACGCGCTGGCCAGGGTCCGCCCAGACCCGGGTCCGCCCGGCCTTGCAGGATCCTGCAAATCCTGCAGGATCCTGCAGGATCGTGCAGGATCCTGCAAATCCTGCAAGCCTTGCAGGATCCTGCAAATCCTGCAAATCCTGCAGGATCGTGCAGGATCCTGCGCGCCAGCCTGGGTCATTGCGCCCCTGGCTGCGCAGGACCCTGCAAGAGCTGGCGCCCTGGCTGGCCTCCGTTTGCACTGACCGCCGTCTCGAGGCTCCCGATAGGTGCGGGACAACATCGGACCGGGACGAATAGAAGATCTCTACGCAATCGGAACCTTATCCATGCCCATGCTCACGCCAGAACTCGACGAGGGGGTGGCGCGAGGGCATGGATCAAATTCCAGCCTATGGAAGCAGGATCCATTATCCATGTCCTGCTGCCCCTGGCGCCCAGTGTGGGGCAGCAACAGGGGTATGGATCGGGCGCCGACCGTCGAGATCCAACGATTCTGGAGGATGTATCGGGCGCCGCGGCCATTCCAGGGCGCTCCATAACGCTCTGAAAGCGTTTCGAAACGCTCTGGGATGATTGGTCCCGTTCCCAGCCCCGCCCCACCCCCGACCTCTCAGGCCCAGGGGTCGTGAGGTCGGCTACACGTGATGGTGACCCTTGAGCTCTAGGATATATAAACTATGAGGCAACTCCTGGGAGGTCTTTCTAAGATCGACGAAGGGCTACTAAGCCCGATTCAGGGGACGTTAAAGCGGATCAGGCCGGATCAAGCTCGGGGCTAAGCTGGATTTAGCGGGATTAACCCAGATTCAGCGGGACTATGCCGTATTAGGCCGGTTTTCGACAGCGGATATACCAGCGCCGATGCCGAATGTAACCTCCCAGAAATTGCATCCTAACAAACAGTGACTTTTAGTGCGCGGTTTGCCGGTTGTTGCACGCGATGCGACATTACGGCTGCCTGCGTGCTTGGGGCTGGTCCCCTGTCGCCCTGTCGCCCTCCGAAGCCGCACACAAATGGCCGCTCCGGCGACGGGTCACTCTTACGCGTAGCCGACGAAAACAATCAAGAAGAAGTCGGAGGGCCCATGGAGGTGGTCCAGCGGAAAGAGCGAGACCCCCCCCGCACTCCGTACACCTTTCTTCTCGATTCTTCCACTCCGCTCCCCCGACCTCCCCACTCCACTCCCATCCATTACCAACCCTGGCCCCCCAACATTCTCTCCTCTCCCCGGATCCTGTCCGAGCGGGGCCCCTTTTCTGCCGCGCATGCGCCAGATTTCAAACATTGATCTATTGTATGATTGCTTGCTCTCAGGACGCCGTCGGCCTTTTCAAAATTGTGCTCCCGCTGCAGCGCTGAACCCATGTCAGATTCGGCGCTGTGCTCCCGTAGTTCAGAGTGGCGCTCTCGCCCCAGCGCGGGTCACATTTCTGAATCCAATTCCTTACTCGTTCTTGTTATCGCCCCTCCTCTCCCCTCCCCTCGGGGGGAGAAGTTCAAGATGTGAGTGGGACCTCCTCTGGTCGTCGCCGCCGTAGAAAAAGCTTCGCCGTACAGCGAATCCGCCACCAAAGCATATGTATTGCAGATTCGCCACGGGAGGATTTAATGTGCGAAAAGCATTAATTCGCACATCCACCATAAAAAAAAACTTATCAACCCGCCGCTTTAGGAATCAATGTCTGACTCTGCGACAAAAGGAGTCACCTTGTGAATCCATCGCAAGAGCATTCAAGTAGTAATCGCGCCTTCACATAATCCAATTTGTAAAAACACATCAAAAGGAATTAATGCTTTCATCCGCAACAACATTGATTTGCAAATCACAAGAACAATCAATTTGACGAGCGGTGATTAAGTAGAACTGCGTTGAGCGGCATGGGCCTGCCAAGGGTTCCCACAAGTTTGATCCCTTTCGTTGCTGAAGGTTGTCAGTCTTAAACCGGAAGAAGCGATTTCGCTTGAGACCCCGTTCTGATTTTCTACAAGCCATAACGGTTTGGCAGAAACTCGGATGGAATCTTAAGCGAAACTGCGTTTTCGCTTTGCAAATCAATGATTCAACAACGGAAACGCAGGTTTCGATCGAGACTCCCTCATAATGTCACACCAGCCAAGCCCCATGACGTTATGACGGAGTGTCAAGCGAAATGTGGTTGCCCGATGTATTCCCAACCATCATATGGTATTGTGTCCTCGGTTTGAGAAGACAGCGCCCCGCGTTCTCCTCCTCCTCCTCCTCCTCCTCCTCTCATCTTCTCCTCCTCCCCCTCCTCCCTCATCCCATCATCATCGTCATTATCATCATAATCATCATCCTTAGCAGCCTCATCATCACCACCATCATCAGCATCCCCATCGTCATCCAACACAGGGAGCTCTAAGGATGGTCACAGTTGCAGTGTTCGCATGCATCTCCCCCACCCAGTCCAGCGCTTCGTGGCCCCAAAAGGTGCTCCACCGAAGGCCTCCGTGGCGGTGTTCGCTTGCGTCTCCCCGATTCAATACAGCCTTTTGTGGCCCCACAGGGAGCTCCACCGAAGGCCTCAGTGGCGATGTTCGCATGCGCCACCCAACGCCGCGGTGTTCGCATGCGCCTCCCCCGCCGAGTACAGCGCTTCGTGGCCCCAAAAGGTGCTCCACCAAAGACATCACTGGCGGTGTTCGCATGCGTCTCCCCAACCAAGTACAGCGTTTCGTGGCCCCATATTGAGCCCCACCGAAGGCCTCAGTGGCGGTGTTCGCATGCGCCTCCCCCACTCAGTGCAGCACTTCGTGGTCCCATGGGGGATGTTGCGCCTCCAACTCAGTACGGCGCTTCGTGGCCCTGTGCTTCACCGACGGCCCAAATTGCAATGTTCGCGTGCGTCTCCCCCACCCAGTACAGCGCTTCGTGGCCACACTGGGAGCTCCACCGAAAGACACCTCACACGCTTCGCGGACCCATAGTGGGTTCCACATAAAGCCTCAATGGCAGCGCCCACATGGCGGCTCCGCCCCATATCAGCACACCCTTCGCATGCTTAATGGCCTCATGAGGAGATCACCCGAAGGTGATGCCCGCAACGACGGCACCCACAACTGCATATGGTTGGGTCCCTCGCCAAGGTAAATTGTTGAAGACAGCAAAGAAAACAACAACTCTTGTGACCATTTGAACCAATGCCAATTCCAAGCCGCTGTTGGATTTATGTTCTTTTGGGGCGGAATTACAAGTTTGTCCCTTTTGTAGCGGGTTTACCAAGATGGTTTCGGTGTTGTGCATTGACAAACTGATTCCTGTTGCGGCGCGTTTACACGTTGATTCCTTTTGTGGCTGAGATGCTGTTTGATTATTCTTGTGGCGGACTTGCAACGTTTTTCCCGCTGTGGCGGGTTAATTCGTGTGTGGCGCGTTTGCATGTTGAATCCATTTGTGATGGGCTCACACACATTGATCCTGTGTGCCGCAAATTTGAAAATTGATTCCGCTTGTGGCGACTTAGTGTGTGAATCCGCAACGAAATGAATCAACTTGTAAATCAGCTACAGGGAGGATCGATGTGTCGAGCGATGGTTAAGTAGAACAGCACTGGGCAGCCTGGACCTGCCAGAGGTTCACAGCTTGTTGATTTAGTTCGAAACGAATGTGAATAGACACTGCATTCCTTTCGTAGAATCAAAATAATTCCCTCCCTAGGCTCTGCCTAGAAGGTTCTTACTCGCTGGGCTTAAAGGGGCCGGGCAGTGGGCTCCGCCCCAGGCGGTTCCCCCGGTCCCCGCCCCGCGGTTCCCCCAGTTGCGCCCCCTTACCTTAGCGTTGCGTATCTCATCTTAGCTTAGCTTAGCTTAGCTTCATCTTAGCTTCGCTTAGCTGTAGCTGTAGCTGTAGCTGTAGCTGTAGCTTAACTAAGCTACAGCAACAGCAACAGCAACAGCAAAGCACTAGCAATGCAAAGCAAAGCAAAGCAAAAGCAAAACCAAAGGAAAGGCAAAGCAAAAACGATGTGCAACAGTACGATCAGAGAGCCCACCCGGTGAGCGAATACAAAAACCTGCGTGTGTGTGTGTGTGTGCGAAGGCACAGCAACAGCAAAACCAAGCAAAAGCAAACACAAGCAAAAGCAAAGGCAACTACGACGATGAGAAGGAGGAGGACGGGGTTTACCGTTACTACTAATGCTGCTTTCCTAGGGGCTCCAACTCCTAGGTAGGGTCGCACTGGGGTAATTGCAATGCAAACACAGCATGTTGCTTGAGACTCCCTCGGAACTTCACACCAACCAAACCGCATGGTTCAACACGTTTTTTTGGTAGGGGGTCTCAAGCGAAATCAAGCGTTGGATGCAAAACTTTGCATTAAAGGAAATGGAGAATCCGCTAAACCTGGGAACATTTGGCAAACCCAGTCCGCGCAATACGGTTCCACTTGCCGCTCGACATGTTAATTTCTTCTGTGGCGGAATTACTGATGGATTCCGTTCGTGGCGGAGTTCTGAACTGATTCATTGTGCTGCTGATTTGCACGTTGATTCTTTGTGGCGCGTCTACACATGAATTCTATCTGCGGCGGGTTTACCAGTTGATTCATTGTGTGGACAATTTCCATATTGATTCCCTGTGCGGTGGATTTGCAGCGGCGAGTTCACATGTTGATTGCCTTTTTGTGGTGGCTTCACGCCGTGATTCCTTCCGTCGCAGAATTAGGAATTGATTGCTGTTGTGGCGGGTTTGTATATTAACTCGAGTCGTGGCGGATTTACACATTGGTTCTTGTAGTGGCGGACTTAC